TAAAATTTTACTGAGGGAGTTGAGTTGAAGTACAGTGTTTTGATTAAGGAAGTAGGCTGGGAAACCAAACTCTATTTGAGTCCTAGCTTTGTCACTATTTGACAAAGTGGGTTGAGGGGTTACATGACCTTTCTATGCCTATTTTTCCTCATCTACAATATGGGAATAATAATATTAATCTCTATTTTATGGGGTTCCTGTAGGGATTAAATGAATTAACCTATGTAAAGCACTTAGAAAGTTGTCTGGCACACAGTGATTACTCATAAACATCAGTTTGGTTGTGTTCTAATTGTTATTGTTATACCAGTGGTGCCTCCTACTGCCTATCTTCTCTACCCAATTCATGGTGTCCTGTAAAAATTATAGGGTCCGTAAAAAATCGCCATCAGTTCAAAGTGCTGGCATGTCAACATGCCTAAGAAGCACAGTTTTTCCTTGCACAAAATTGGGGAGGGAAGGCAGGGATGTGAAGGGGAGGGGGACACTCATTCTTTGCCTTGCCCAAGGTCCACACTCCTTGTAAGGTACTCTTTCCAAATATTGGCAACAGAGGGCTCATCCTGCCTTTTCTTTCCATTCTTAAGGAGGTAAGTTTCTGGCTTCAAATTGGGGGAACACCTCAGTTGCACACAGGAAAGTTAGGGGTAAGAGTCAGTAATAGCACTGAGGCAACACTACCACGAAACTGAAGCTGGCAGTTAGCACCCTCTTTCAAACTCAAGCTCTTTACCTCTTTGGTTCCCCCCTCATAACTGCCTATCCTGGTGGCCCTCTCAAGAGAGGAGTTCTTGAGTGCCATGGTGTCACTGTCCTATTTTCTCCTTCCTCTCACCCAAGGTGGTAAGGACCCAAGGCTATCACAGAAGACTCTGCCCTCCTGAACAATCGTATCCCCCCCACCTTTGCCCACCCCACTCCACTTCTCTGGCCCCAGAAACTTGGGGTCTTCCTGCTCCCCAACACACACACACACACACACACACACACACACACACACACACACACACCGTATCATTTTAAGTATCTCATCAGGGCCAGGATCTCTATGCCTCACAGTAAGTTCCTGAGAAACTAATTCATACTTTTAGGGAAAGTAGAGTATTAATGGTTAAGTTCAGGAGCTTTGGATCCAGGAAGATTTGGGCTGGAGTGTTGGTTTAGACACAAATTGTGTGACTGGGGAACTTACTTAACATCTTTGAGCCTCATTCTTCTCTTTCGAAAAGTGGGGCTATCAATTCCTATTTTAGAGAGCATTTGGAATAATTAAATGACATATGTATACAGCACTTAGCATGGGCCTGGCTTACAGCAAGCAATGAATAAAAGGAAGTGATTATTGATGTTTTTGTACCATTGAGAAGAGTTTAGGCAACAATATAATGTTGCCTTACCTCCTTTCCATCTGCCTAATTCTGTCTTTTCTACCTGGTAAAATAACTTGTTTTATAGAGACAATGCCTTCTGTTTTGATGCCCAGAATCCCAAAGTAGGATCTGTTAGTAAAAGTCCAGCCTAATGAGCATTTTGGTGAACTAGCAAGAGCAAGGATTGATCAACAAGAGGTCTAGACTCTAATAGCTGCTGTGCCACTAACAAGTCAGGCAATTTTGGGCAAGTCATTGTTCCTTGAGGGCCATCAGTTTCTTATATAAAAGGAAGACTTGGGTTAAGATGGAGTTTAAAATTTCTTCTGATTTTGATATGCCATGATTCTGTATGAAAAGGTTATTCTCTGAGTGAATCCTTTTATTTATACTTAAGAGTCTTGGCACAAGAACAGGGACATTGACCAGTGGAACAGAACTGAGAATCCAGATATAAAACCATCCTCATATAGCCATCTAATCTTTGACAAAGCAGAAAAAGACATACACTGGGGAAAAGAATCCTTATTCAATAAATGGTGCTGAACAAACTGGATAGCCACGTGTAGAAGACTGAAACAGGATCCACACCTTTCACCTCTCACAAAAGTCAACTCATGGTGGGTAACAGACTGAAACCTAAGGTGTGAAACTATTAGAATTCTAGAAGAAAATTTTAGAAAAACTCTTATAGACATTGACCTAGGCAAAGAATTTATGAAGAAGACCCCAAAGGCAATCACAGCAACAATCAAAATAAATAAATGGGACCTGATTAAATTAAAAAGCTTCGGCACAGCCAAAGAAACTGTCACAAGAGCAAACAGATAACCTACAGAATGGGAGAAAATTTTTGCATGCTACAAATCCGATAAAGGGCTGATAACCAGAATCTACTTAGAACTCAGGAAAATCAGCAAGAAAACATCAAACAACCCTATCAAAAAGTGGGCAAAGGACATGAACAGAAACTTTTCAAAAGAAGACAGACTAATGGCCAAGAAACATGAAAACATGTTCAACATCTCTAATCATCAGGGAAATGCAAATCAAAACCACAATGAGGTACCACTTATCCCCAGTGAGAATGGCCTTTATCAAAAAGTCCCAAAACAATAAATGTTGATATGGATGCAGAGAGATAGGAACACTCATACGCTGCTGGTGGGACTGCAAACTAGTGCAACTTCTGTGGAAAGCAATATGGAGATACCTTAAAGAGATACAAGTAGATCTACCATTTGATCCAGCAATCCTATTACTGGGCATCTACTGAAAAGAAGAGAAGTCATTCTATAAAAAAGACGTCTGCACTCGAATGTTTATAGCGGCACAATTCACAATTGCAAAAATGTGGAAACAACCCAACTGCCCATCAATACATGAGTGGATTAATAAAATGTGGTATATGTATACCATGGAATACTACTCAGCTATAAGAAACAATGGTGATATAGCACCTCCTGTATTTTCCTGGATAGAGCTAGAACCCATTCTACTAAGTGAAGTATCGCAAGAATGGAAAAATAAGCACCACATGTACTCACCATCGAATTGGTTTCACTGATCAACACCTAAGTGTTCGTATAGGAATAACATTTATCGGGCATTGGACAGATGGGGGGAGGGGAACGGTATATACATACATAATGAGTGCAATGCGCACCATCTGGGGGATGGACACGCTTGAAGCTCTGACTGGGGGGGGGCAAGGGCACGTAACCAAAACATTTGTACCCCCATAATATGCAGAAATAAAAAAAAGAGGCTTGATCAATATGTTTTTTCTTCTGAGAACTTTTATTGTGTAGCTTTATCTTCACATTTTTTCACCTGCAAATGTGGTAGTTGAAGGTAGACTATGGAGTGGTCATTCTAGGTTTGGGTTTCAGCACCACTACTTGGCTTTTGGTCAGTTATTTAACTTCTCTAGGCCTCAATGACCTTGTCTGTTGAATGGGGACAGACAGAGGATAGATGTGAAAGTGAAAAGGGACAAAATACTTAGACAACATAACCCCAAAGACTATAGTTTTATTGTCTTATAGGGCATTAACCAGCTTTTTCTCTAAGTCGGCAAGCTTATTTCAGAATGTCTCTCTTTATGGACTCTAAATATGCTGTTACCATTGTACTGGTTTCTTCAATAATGAGTTGAATAGAATCTTTCACACGTTTCATTCTATTTTTTGGTACGAGAATCCTGTTTTTAACTTTTTGAAAATTGTTCTTTGACAGGTCCTAACTAACTCTGCTCAATAGATTGATTGACATTGGCAAAGCTTGCTTTGCTAGAAGTGCTGATTAAGTTATTGAAAAACATAAACATGCTGCATTTGCATTTTTATACTTTCTGCCCCCTTCTTCCCTCTGTCAATTGGCTGAAGCCAGACCCTGTGGGGGTGAGGGTGGGGAAAATCCCTTGGAGGAATCTCTACCTACTGGAAAAAGAAATAAGCAAGAAGCAAGATAAGCCAGGCAGAAAGATACTTTCACTGTGTCCTTTACATTTATGACTAGCAAGATAATGAAGGAAGGTAATTCTGAAAGCTTTATGTCAGTTTTAACAGTCCCTCAAGCACTGAGAAAGATAATAGTCAATGGATGGTGTCCATAGGATTTTTTCTCCTTCTCCCCTGACAGCCATTGACAGGATCATTTTGTATTTGCAACTACTGTCATTGGAGCATGGAGAAAAGGCCCTGTAAGGCCAGGCGGATGAGGGCGACTTCCCTGCAAGGATCTCTATTGTCATCACTATGGCAATAATAGTTACTATAATTTTCATTCTGCTTTTCTACAGTGTCTACTTTGCGGAGCTTAAGGCTATGGGATTTAGGTCACATAAAATCACACTAGCATAAAACCATGCTTTGTAATCTGCAAGAATATCTTATAAAACTGCAAAGAGAACCTATGCAACAAGATTAAAGTAATTACCAACGCAGGTCACTTGACTAATGCAATTATTTATGGGATGCTAATAGCTTTTCAGAGGCTTTCACATACAGTGTCAATTTGACAGCAGTTTTTTTCTCTCTTTCTGTTTGGATTGTTAGACCACTGCCAGTTTTTCCTCCCCAAGGACATGGTTTATCATTTGGGGGAGGGGGAATGTAAATTACTTGCAAATCAGCTCCCAGATATCCTCTGGTAGTTTCTCTTTATTAAATCTTAAGGACAGGAACCATGGCTTCTATTTCATTATGTACACCCTCATCTCCTAGCGCGCACAGAGTTGAACTTCAACGTTACTAGCTTTCCGACAAGTAGCCTTAGAGACCTCAGACACTGCCAACGCCTGGCTCTGCGGAAAGAGGGCTTCGTGAATGAAGCGGGAAGAGAGGAGCACGTGCGATCCTAGTGCGTGATGAAAAAGCCCTAAGAGAGGCCTCAAGGTAGGGAGAAAGCAGACAGCTGGAGACAAAGAAAAGGGCAGTAGAGAAAAGAGGTGAAGATGAGAAAGACAAGCAAAAAGAACGGGCTAAATAGGAAAATAACAGAAGAGGCAGACAAAACGAAAAGGAAAGTAGAGCGCCTCCTGCAGCAGGCGAGCACGCGCGGAGACTACAGCCCCCAGCATCCCTTGCGGCGCCGGCTCCCCGGCTTCAGTCTCCTAGGCAACCCGCTAAACAAGATGGCGGCCCCCGAGAGCGCTCCCCAGAGCTCCAGAGCTCCCTCTCTCCTGGGAGGCTTGGGCAGTGCACGAACTGGAGTCCAATCGATGCCGTTGCGCTCAGAAAAGGAGTCTCAACCTTGCTGGTCTTCTTTTCCCATGGGGCAAAAGACGAAAGGCACTGTCAACAGAACCTCCTCCTACCTGCTGCAGCAGATCATTCACCGCTATCAGGAGTTGGACGCGGACGGAGAGGAGGACCGGGGCGAGGGCGAGGTGGAATCCGAGGAGTCCTCAGACTCCGAAATGCAGAATCTGGAGGTGTGCCTTCCCCCCTGCGCCCTCACCCCTCACTCTCTAGTTCCCTCCTCCAGCTGTCTGGCCCTGCTACTTCAGCGGCAGCTCCCTGACGCATCCCTCACCAGCCCTAGGCTTAGCCCACACCTTCCCGGGCTCTCTCGCCTCCAGGAGCGCCTCTTCCTGACAACTCTGAGGCCCCTCTTTTCTTCCCATTTCTCTTACCCCATTTCCTCACCCCATGCCTGAAATATCTCCAAACGTCTCCTTTCTATTTCATTAACACATTTGATTCCTTAGGAGTCGAGTTACGCAGTGTCGTTTTGAAAAAGTATCTATGTATTTGCATGGGAGTTATGGCTTTAACTTTTTCAAAATTATACCTTGACACTATTGTGAATAGGCAGGGCTCGTCTTTGGCATTTCCAGCACCTGCTTCGCATGACTATGAAGTACTCCAATACTCTTCCCCAGTCCTAGTCCTTTCAGCCTCCTTCCTGCAGGAAAAAAAAAAAAAAAAAATTACTCTCTTGAAATAATCTGGATAAGTGCTTCCTCAAAGACTAAGTGGCTTAAAAGTTTAATATTAATATATTACTTCTGCCAGGGGTATATGCCTCATACAAGCAGCATGCACACACAACAGAAAGAAGCCATAGAATGTTCAAACAGCCAAGTCACTGTGGAAGTTCCCAACATTCCCACCTGTATTGCTTGGGGTGGTCAATTTGCTTTTCACATTAGTACAAATTCCCTCCTTTCTACAATACCTAACTTCTTTCTTACACTTATTATCGTCCTTTTCCTTTCTTAGCCCATTGCCTGTGTTCTTGTCCTTTTCCACGTCTCATAACATCACTTCCTTCTCTTGGCTTCTAATAATTGTTTGCTTTCTTTCAAAAACATAATTAGATTTGCATTGTTTCAATATACTGTTAGGTTTTTCTCCTTGTCTTGTCTTCCAGGTTTTTCTCTCCCCTTTCCTTTTCCTTCATAGTATAAATTCCTTCAAATTCTTTTCAGAAATACAATGTTTTCAATATCCTCATTCTGTGATATTCTTCTGGTTTTCTCTCTTCACATCTTTACATCTTTTCCTAATCTCTTTTCCTCCTTGCTGCCAAATATGTTCTCTATTATGCCTGTGCCCTTTAACAAACTCCTTTCCTCATTTGTCTTATTTCTTCTCACTCTCCCCTCCCTAACCTGCAGCATTGTCTGTTACTCCAATTCTACCTTTAACCATTTATACTCTTCCCCAACTTGGGTGTCCCTTCTTTCATGTGTCCTCTGTTCACTTCCAACATTTGGCTCATTTCTTTCCACCCTCATCCCCCATTTTTCTTTCCTCTTCTTCTAATTCCTTCTATATGAGCTAGTTACAGTTTAGTTTTGCTTAAAGTTGACCATAGAAAGCTGTTACTTCTGCTACTCTCAGAAATTAGAATACTAGAAGTTAGAATACTATTAAATATGACTCTGTTCATTAGTACTTCTTTTGTCGATTTACTTTGCTACCTTTAAAAGTGACTGTTGCAAAATGGTAGCAGTGTTTTTGCAACTTTGAAATGTTTGTATGGTTTCCACCAGCTTCCACCCCAGAGGAATTCACAAATGAGCCACCAGTATACTTTATTATTGTAATTAACGCATAGCTCTTCAGCTATGGGGTTCATTAGTACCATTGTTAATCTGTCTTCAGTATGCCATTAGCAAACCGTAGAAGGGGTTGACTTGAAGTAGTTCTTTTTGGCTTGAGGATGTATGTGGAAAAAGTTGCATTATGTCTCCCATTTACATTCTAAATATTAATATTTATTTTGTGTTCTTATATTCTGTTTTGGCTTTGATAGTATTAATTTTAGTATGCTGAATAAACTGAAAAGTTTTAAAAGGAAACCTTTGGACATTCATGTTCAATGATTTATTTTTCATATCTTAGCCTGGTTAAGATTTGCAATGCTATGATGATCACAATGATTATTGAATGCCTGTAATGCAATTAGCTTCAACTCTCAGAAGCCCTTATGAATTTAAGGGAGGCAGTACAGACCAGCTGTTCAAAACACTGCCTTTGGACTCAAAGATTTCTATCTGGGGCTTGCTTTAGCCTTTTGTTAGCTACAAGTTACTTAACCTTTCTATGTCTCATCCGTAATGTGGGAATTATAATAATACCTATCTCATAGGAGAATTGTGAGAATTAAATGAGATTCTATATATAAAATGCTTAGCATAATATATTTTTGATATGATTACTAACAAAACATGTAATAGTAACTTACATGTTTTTATCTGCTAACTACAGCCCATTAAGTGATTTCATTAATTCAGCCTTCATTGAACAAAGATTTATTGATGATTGCTATGTAGGAAGCACTTTTTGACTATATACAGCAGAAGTGTCTGGGCCCCAAAACTGATCCACAAAAACTTTTTTCCCAGTAACCTAATGTGACTAATAATGCCTACTTATGGGATGATTATGAACATCAAATTTAATAAGAAACTTTATATTACCGTTCTTAATATACATCTGATACAGAGTAGACTCTCAAAAATTGTAGATATGATAAATAATAGCAACAGTAATGACAGAAGATGAGAACATGATTGAGGACATACATACACAGTCCCTGCTCTCAAAGTGAGATAAGCATGTGAGTAAATCATAGTAATTCAGCCTCTGTAGTATGCTACATGGAGATGAGTACAGATGACAGCTCGACTGCAGGGATCATGGAAGACTTCGGGGAAAGTAGACTCCGGTCTGGGTGGAGAGGTGGTGCGTGGGCAGGCAGGCAGCTGCTTTTCCTATTGATGAGTTGTAGGTGAGAGCAGAAGCAGCAGACTTAGATAGAAGCCAGATTCTGGAGGGCTCTGTGCTGTTGTAGGGACATGGACTTGAGTCTCTAAGCAGTTGGAATTGCTCTGTTGGCCAGGTGGGATTAGAGGGAATAGTAAGACAGAGGCAGGGAGATAAGTGGGCAGACTGTAGCAATATCTAGTGGGGAGGGAGAGGGGCTGGATTAAGGCAATGGCAGTGGGAATGGAAAGGAAGCTAAAGACAAAAACATATTTAAGATGGGATAGTTACTAATTGAATATTAGAAGTCTAGAGTGACTGTTAGGCCTATGGCATGGTCTGGGGAGATATGAAGGCCATTATCTACAATAGGAATTAGGAAAGATGGAGCCATGTGTTAAGGAGTTGGATACATAAACCATAAGACTGGAAATCAGGAGGGAGTCTCAGATTAGGAGACTTCCGCTTATCTCTTATTTACCACATTCCTGAAATTGCTTGTGTACTTCTCTGTCTCCCAGACTACACTGTAAATCCCTTACAGATAGGCACCACGTCTATTTGCTTATTCACTTATTCACCATGTCTTATCCGCTGAGCCTAGCATACTGGCTGGCATGTGCTAGGCATTCTATAAAATTTTTTTTCCCCAAATGAATGATGAACATGATATAGCCCCTGCTTCAATGCAGTAGTTGAATGTGAACTTGATTCAGGTTTGGGTATGGATGTATGTAGTTGCAATCAGGGGACAAGTAGTCAGAGACTTGAGGGTAGGGAGAAATTGAAATTGCCCATAGGCTTCCCAGTAGGGAAGGAAGTATAGTCAGGAGGAAACAGACTCTGAGAAAGGGAAAGGTGAGCAAACTGGAGATTTTGTTGTGATCAAAGAACAAGTTCAGTACTTGCTGGAAAGGTTGACAGATTAAGTAGTTGTGGGATTAGACAGTGGAATACTGGGGATGGAGGTTTCTAGTGTGGAGCAGTTTAGCATGATGACTAACTAAATCCAGAACATGGCCCCGGGAGTGGGTGGCTGAAGTTGGGTGGAAATCAAGTTTAAGGTGTCTGGAGTTGGGGCAGGAAAGAAATGTGTGTGTGTGTGTGTGTGTGTGTGTGTGTGTGTGTGTGTGTGTGTGCATGTGCTGGGAGAAGGGGTGTTGGATGGTCATCCATAGGGATTCTGATACCAAGAGAAGGACAGGGTTTGTGAAGATTGAAAATGACCAAAGACCAGAAGGGGAAGGCACAATACTGCCAAAGAAGGTGTGAGGGGATTGCTGTGCAGAATCTTGCCTTGGGAATCTGGGAAAATGCTGACAAGTGTGGCCTGTCTCCATGTCAGTGGCTACATTGAAAAATAAGCATCTACCTGCTATAAGTAAGGATGCAATGCCTTCTTCAAGAAATGGAGGGAGTCAGGTGAACTTCAGAAGTCTAGGTGGAAAGTTTTGGAAGGAAGGTAACATTCCTCTACCTCCATTCCTTCCTAGGTCTTATAATTTCTTAAAATTGGAACTGTATTTAGAAAAGTAAATGTGTTTCACTCATTCTGTGAACAGGTTGATTGGTATAGATGAGTGAAACATTAAGATGTGGAATTTCTGACTTTATCAATTAGTAGTAACAATTGTCATTTATTGGGAACACTTGCTATGTTCCAGGCACTGTGCTAAGAGTTTTGTATCTATTATTTTTTTTCTTTCTACCCAAAACATTAAAAGAAGGTGTTAGAGGAGGAAAGACATTCCCTGTACCCTCCTAGCTTTGATAGCCAGGTCTATACAATAGACTGACAACAGGCAGGTAATAGGAGAAAAGGTATGCACACTTATTAATTTTTAATATTATGTACATGGGGGCATCACAGGAAAAAATAAAAGTGAATACCCAAAAAAGTGGTGAGATTTGAGAACTTATACACCATCTTAATAGGAGAAGGGGGGAAGGGATGTAGGTCACTTAGGGGAGAATAAATGCTTGTTAGGAAAGAAGGCTAGGCCCTTAGAAAAATAGATGGGAGACATGACAGTTTTTGAGAAAATCTGTCTGAGTGTGGTAAAAACTTCTAGACTCCTCTCCTCTGGTAAGAGTCAATCTTTTCTGTTTGATAAAACTCCCAGGGAGGGGATTTAGGACAATTGAGTTCCTTTTGGAGGAGGCACGTTTAGGCAGATAAGGGGAGTTCAGAGAAAGCCTCTCCTTGCATTTGCTGTTTTTCAAGTGCCTTCAGCTCAAAATAATCAATATACTAAAGTAGCATATTTTGGGGTGACATGTCTTGAACTCCTTCATAGGTAATAACATTTTCTATTTATAGGTGAAAAATATGAGGCCCCGTGAAAACTTTACCTCCCCAAAGTCACACATCCAAAATGGCAGAGCTAGGGTTCAAGCCACACCTGCCCAATTCCAAAGTCCATGTGCTATTTCCTTGCAGGTGGTATTCGCTTCCCTGGGTTAGCAGAAATTTTGGGGGAAAGAAACTCTTTAGAGTAGTACAAGCCTATATACATATATCCTCAGTACTAAGAGCCTGAGCAGCTTCGTTGGTTCCTAAATTAACATAAAGGATTTGGAAAGAGGGTATTTTGCCATGGTAGTCCATATGTTAGTCACGGTTAGTTATATCAGTGATGATGTGGTTACTGTATTTCATGTCCTCATGCTGATGTCAGTGTTAATATGCTGGCCATTATGGAGTTGAAGGAGGCACAAACAATACTGATCCACCTGTTATCTCTTCTGTCTGTCATTATTGGGGAAAGGATATGTTGGGCTGCCATTAGTCCATGGGATGTCTATAGACCAAGGGCCAACCTCCTTATGGAAACGATCACCATCCTTTTAATAAATCTTGTAAATATACTAAGTGCTGGATATGAATCTAACAAAATTAGCCAATAGGAAGTGAACTGAGGACCTACTTTCATTAGCAAAAATACCAAATTTAAAGAAGCAATTGCTTTAGCTTGATGTAGTCATCCTTCAGAGTATGGGCAAGCAGTCAAGTGTAGGGATTAGGGGAACTGCTCTTGGGTCAGACAGATTAGGGTTTTCATTCCAGTGCCGTCACATACTATCCATGTGGTTTTAGGCAAGTTAACCTCTAAACCTTAGTGTTTCGTCTGTAAAGTGGAGATAAGAACACCTACCTCAGGGTTGTCAAAAGAATTAAATGAGCTAATCCACTGAGAGCTCTTAGCACAGTGCCTGGAATGGAGACACACTCAATTGATGGTAGCCATCACCACTAATAATGCTTCTACTGCTACAGTGTTCGCTCGACTTGGACTCTTTAATGCAAGTGACTACCTGAAAGCTCAGTGGCAGTGGAAACACTGATTTGGTAGATATTTATTTAATTATAGGTATTAAGTATATGTCCTCAACACAGAATTTTCTTTGGGGATGGTACATTTTGAAGGGCTGAGCTCCTGGGTATAAAATATACTAAAGATGTACTAGACATGACAAAGTGGATTATTTCTTTTCTAATGGGAACCCTGTCTTTGTCCACCTCTGTGGGTTTTTTGCAGGAGGAATTTGATGGGGTCCTGAGAGAAGAGGCCGTGGCTGCAGCACTCCACCAACTGGGACGCTCGGGCTCTGGGACTGAGCAGGTCTACCTCAGTCTAACTTTATCGGTGAGTATGACAAAATCACCGTGGCGGGCTACAGCTTGATGCTGACTAAACCATATTCATTTTCTTTGGTACACATAGCTTTTGTGGTGGCAGCAAATCTCAGAGCCTTGCATTTGATGGAGACTGGTGATAAGAGATATTTATGTAAATATTAGACTTCAAAGAGCCCTGGCCAATCTAGTAATCAGCCCCTAGATTCCTTTGTTTTCATTCTCTTCATACTCTATTTCTTTCATCTTAAGTAGTCTATATTATAGTAATCAATGCTTTCTTTCCAGAAGGTTGAATTTGATTCTGTGAAACCAATCAAAGACTCTTCAAGGATTTTCCGTCTGATCAGTAGAAGCAGCACTGAAATTTATATCTGAATCCAAGGGAACAGAGCATTTTGATATTGACTTCAACCCCCTAAGTATGTCAAGAAATAAGTAGCTTTGAGCTATATCTTACTTTCCAAAAGATCCTATCATTAAAGAAAAACAAATCTATTGTTATTCATCAATTTTTGAGATTTCAATACCAGTTATAGAGTAGCACAAAATCTGGGCTCCAATTTTATCATAAGAGAGGCTATAAGAACAGAGCAAACTACTCAGAATACTTAATTTTCTTGCCTTGTTTGTTTCTCTATAGTTCTAGAAAAAATATTTAACTCTTTTGGCTTCCTTATGTTGTAAAGCACGAAATATTCCTTGGAGATCCATAGAGTAAATGCAGATAACATAGGTGAAAAAAAAAGCACATTGAAATTTTACTATAGCACCATGATTTGGCTAAAGTGTATACAATTTGATTGTAAGACTGTTCTGTCTTAGATTTGAATTAGTACACTATTCAAGAAACATTAAGCTGTTTTCACCCATGCTGGTTCCATGGTGTGCCCTTTAAGGTCAACATATTAAGACTACAATCTTTTACTATTTTCACTTTATAACATTTTATGGATGACTCTGCTAGTCAGATAATAACATACAGGGAGCTTCCTGTATACACTGCAGTATGTTAGACATTGGAATGTGGTATATAATTCCAGCAGCCAATGCACCCCCACACACATCCCTTTCAATCAATATTCTACTTATGTACATAGTGCTATGCCTTAAATTGATCTACCCCTCAAAGCAATCCTTTAAATCTTATTTCAGCTAGATGGACTGAAGCTTAACTTATTTTGCCACTGACCTCCTTACATTTGAGATATTGCATGTTGAATTACTTTGCCTTAATAATCTGTCTTACTGAATATATTTTTTTAGGGTTGCCTGATTTAGTGATTTTCCCCCTTTATATCTTACATATATTCCATGTTATTTTTTACTTTCTCTTATTGCTTGTGTATGTGTCTTTTTTTCTACCAAAGTCATAAGTTTCTTAAGGGCACAGTATAGCCCTATTCCATTGTATTCCTCATCATGCCAAGCACAATGCCTGTACATAGTAGATATTCAGTAAGTATTTATTACTATTATAGCAGTCTTCATTAAATCGTCATCATTATTCTGTATGAGAACTTGCTTATAACAATTCTTCATTGGTTGGCTTTTTTTCTGACTCTGACATCACGACATAAACCGGTAATGTATGGTTCCATGGGACCAAATTCCCCCCTAACTTCACTTGAAGTTCACTAGAAGTTATTCATGGAAAGAATTTTGGACAAGGATTCAGGAGACTTGGGTACTGCTTCTCTATCACTAACTTGCTATGTGACTTCAGGCTGTTTACGTACCTCTCTGTACCTCATACTCTTCATCTCCAGATTGGGAATAAACTGCCCTACAGATTTCACAGGTGTGTTTGATAAGATGAGATTACTGTGTAAGAGCGAGCTTTGAAAATGAACCCCGGTGAAAGTGTAGGTAGTATTGTTATTAATGATTTCCTGATCAGGTGTGAACTCTCTTTAAAACTTCATTTAAATTCTAGGCATTTGCTTTTTCTTTTCTTCTG